TCACTCCTCCCCCTCACCCTGTGTCTCTCTCCAGCAAGCACATGAGCCTGATTTAAAAAAAAAAAAAAAGAAAAAAAAAGAAAAAGGAAAAACTTTATATGACCAAATTAATCAATGCAGAAAGAGCATTTGATAGAATACAAATCTGTTTATGATTAAGGCTCTTCTATACCTATAACAAAATAGAAGGTATAACCCAACATAGTAAAGGCTATAATCATAAACTCACAGGTGATATGTAGGATGAGGAAAATCTGAAAGTTTTTCCTGTCAGAACTGGAAAAAGACAAGGATGTACACTTTCTCCACTCCAATCCTACTTAACACAATTAAGAATGAGAATGAAATTAAGGGCATCCAAGTTGGAAATAAGAAAGTTAAATTGTCTGTTTAAATTGCTTGTTTCCAGATGACAGGATCATATAAATAGAAAAACTTGAAGAATCTACAAAAATACTCCTACAACTCAAAAATGAGTTCTGTCAAGTTGCAAGATATAAAATCAGTGACTTTCTTATACACCGACAACAAACGAGCGGAGAAAGAAACCAAGAAAGCAATCCCCCTGAAAATAGCTACGGATGCTCAGGTCAGCTACCATTAAGTGCAATGTTTCTGAAGTTGATTTTAAATAAGTGGGATCAAGGCCCTGAAGCATTTCTTTGAAGAACTCTAACAGCAAAAGACACATAACTCTATCAGTATGACCCTAAAGACAAAGCACAATCAAAGCAATGGCTAACAGGAGTTGGAAGTAAGGGCTCTGGTCAAAACAAAAGTGGATCAGTCAGAAGCAAAGGTCATGGCAACAGGTTTTTGAGATGGTCAAGGCATTTTGCTTGTCAACTTTCTAAGTGCCAAAAAACAATAATGTTTGCTTGTTATGAGAGTATTTTAAGAGAGTTAACTGAAACTTCTGTTAAAATAAATAAATAAATAAATAAAAAACAGAAAAACACCCAAGGAAGTGTCATCAGAGACCTCCACTGCAATGCTCCTGCTCTTTAATCAAACAAGAGCAATTTTCCGAGAATTTCAATGGGAAATTACTAGGCATCCCCTTATTATAGTCATGATTGGGCTCCCTCTGACTTCTTATTGTTTCCTAATCTAAAAAAAAAAAACTCTAAAAGAAATCTTTATTTCTTCAGTTAATAATGTGGAAAAGACTGCATTAAGGAAAAAAAAAAAAAAAAAAAGCTGCATTGACATGGTTAAATTCCCAGGACTCCAAGTTATTTAGGGATGGGACAAATGAAGGAATCATCGCTTATGAATGTCTCTTGAATTTGATGGAGCTTATGTTAAGAAATAACCAGCAGTTGGCGGAATGGCTGTGTCGCTGGACTCCCGTGTAGTTGACCGTGGTTTGAGTCCCGGGCCCAGTGGCTTTAAATTCACACCAGGCACATATGCGTGCATGCCCAAGATCCCGAGAGAATGGAGGGGAAAGGATTGTGGCGCGGCCATCCCCCCTGGGGGGTGATTTCTTGCTTTCTGTCTCTCTCTGTTTTTCTGGTGAGTACATGTGCCCTATAACAAAAACCTCTCAAAAAAAAAAAAAAAAAGTAAGTTTCAATTTAATTCCATTTTCCATGAACCTTTGAAGTCCTCTGGTATTACAAATGCACAGTATCCAAAACTGCGTGGTACTGGCACAAAACACAGATGCACAGGCCAAGACTGGTGATGCAGTCAGCAGATACTGAACTGTGCTGGAAGCCTTATGGCCAGGTATCTGTAAATATACCCAGATCCTGACAAGCAGGAAGGCCAAAGGAGGGGGACTGCAGCATGTTGAGATCCTGTCAAGTGTGTTTTCTCAAATTTCCTCCCACATGCACATGCTCTCTATCATGACTAAAATCAACTTTAAAAAAAACAAAACAGGGACCAGCAGTTAGCGTAATGGCTATGTCGCTGGACTCCCAAGTAGTCGACCGCGGTTCGAGTCCCGGACCTGGTGGCTTAAACTCACATCGGGCGCATGTATGTGCATGCCCAAGATCCCAAGAGGAGAACAGAGGAAAAGGGATTAAGTCGTGGCCATCCCCCCTGGGGGTTGATTTCTCGCTTTCTATCTCTCTGTCTCTGTCTGTCTGACGAGCACACGTGCCCTATAGCAAAAACCTCTCCACAAAAAAAAAAAAAAAAAAAAAAAAGAAAAGAAAAGAAACAAACACACACACACATAGACCAATGAACCTGAACAGAGAACCCAGAAACAAATCCAGTAACTTAAGGCGAACTGATTTTTGACAAAGATTCCAAGAACATTTAGTGGGGAAAGAAAGGTCTCTTCAATAAATGACGCTGGGAATATCGTTTATCCATACACAGAAGAATGAAAACACACCACTATCTTTCATTATATACAATAATTAACTTAAAATGGATTAAGGACTTTAATGTAAGACCCCAAACCATGAAATCACTAAAAGGAAACACAGGGGAAAGGCTTCAGGACATTTGTCTAGGCAAGGATTGTTGAAATAAGCCCTCGAAAGCATGAATAACAACAGGAAAAATAGACAAATGGAATTACTTTAAATTACAAAGTCTCTGTATAGGAAGGTAAGTAACAACAGAGTGAAGAGACAAGCTGCAGAATGGGAGAAAATATTCTCAAATTTTACATCCAACAAAGGATTAGCAAACAAAATATATAAGAAACTCAAACAGCTCACTGGCCAAAGGGAAAGAAAATATCTAACTGGTGAACAGGCAACTGAGGGCTAGCCCTGTGGTGCAGTAGCTAAGGACTGTGGGGAAGACGCTGAATACCACACGTCCAACCACAGTTTGGGTCTCAGTTCCAGTGGCTCGAAGAACATACCAGGTACATGCATACACGCCTGAGATCCTGGTAGGATGAAGAAATGGAAAGGGGAATGAAGGATTGCAGCATGCTAGAGCCTGCTCTGAAGAGTGCTTTCATTCCCTCTGTTTCCCCCCTTCCCTCACCCCTCACAGGTCCTCAGACATTAAAAAAAAGGACGGTGGAAGTGGGAACAGACTAATCTGAACAGTTTTCAAAAGAAGGCATGTAAATGGCCACTAAGTATATGAAAAAAATGCTCCACATCACTAATCTTGAGGTAAATGGAGATCAAAACCACTATGAGGTACCACCTCATCCAGTTAGAATGGTATTATAAAAAATAAAGAAAAATCATGAGTGCTGGTGTGAATGAATGTGGAGAAAGTAGAACCCATTACATTGGAAAAATATAAATTAGTATAGTCATTAGGGAAAGCAGTGTGAAGGTTCCTCATAAAGCTAAAAATAGAGCTGCCTTATAATCTAGTAATCGAATGGAAAGGAAATCGGTAAACTAAAGAGATATCTGCACTCTCATTTTTATTGCAGTACTATACACAATAGTTAAGACAGGCAATCAACCTAAGTGCCCAAACAACTGAAAAAGGAATAAAGACAGTGTGGTATATATACACAACAGAATATTATTCAGTCATTAAAATGGATGAAATCCAGCCATCTGAGGCAACATGGACAAACCTGGAGGAAATAATGCTAATTTAAAGAAACCAGGAACTGGAAGACAAATACTGTAAGTTCTCATTCATTAGTGAAAGCTAGTAAAAGGCTTAACTGCACAGAAATGGATAGTGTAAAAGCAGATTACCACAAGCTAGAAAGGGGAGAACTTGGTTAACAAATACAAGAATGCAGATAGGTAAATAAAATCAGTTCTAGAGGACTACATGTACAACAGAGTACCAAGAACTAGAGACAGTTCAATACATACTTCAAATTAGTTAGGAGGGTTCTGAATGAGCACAAAATAAATGATAGATGTTTGAGATGGCAGACACTTACTGCCTTGATTTAATCATTACACAATATGCGCATGTTTTGAAAAACTACACTATACTCCATTAACATATACGTCTATCACATATAAATTAGAAACTGAAATGATTTTTTAAATTATTTTTTTAAAGAGTAGAACATCGAAGCATATAAATATATTGTACAGTTGAAGTTTTGAAGTTTGATTTAACCAGATCGGACATATTCTTGCTTGATTTTAGGGGCAAAGCAATGTGAGGAACAGTTGAGAAAAGGTTGCTTCCATAACACAAATGTTTGAAAATCCCCTCTCGTAGGTACTGCAGGCACAGTGAAAACATATCTAAGTAACAACACTGGGCAGGTAGTCACCTGAGTACTTAATGCAGAGAAAGATGAAAAACTTTAATATTTTCAATATTAACATATGTTATTACCATCATTCTCTATTCTACTTAAATATAAAAGTCAAAATTACACAAATTCACCAACTCTGCTTTTATTCCATCACCAAAAAAACAAACCAGTGAAAAATCAATTTAAAACTTTTATCATACTTACAGGCAAGGGGAGAAACGAAATCAACAGTCTATTAAATCTAAATTACTTATAAAAGTTGTTTCTACATTTGTCAAGCCAATAAAATAAATCCAAATAAGCACTTGCTCTAAAATTACGCTTAACATTTTAAAGTATGGATCTTTTTATAGTGATGTTCTGAAAAATCTGTTTCTAAATCATTAACAATCTGACTGAGAAACGGACAGTTCCTATTATTTTAAGATTACATCTCTCTTGATATGGTAAATTACATACAACAAAGAGAAAGAGAGAAGAACAAAGTGAGCTACCTTAGGGCTTTGGCATGTTGCACCTTTGCCCAGACTAACATAAATGGTCAGTGACCTTACCTACTCTACACCTAAGGAAACAGCTATTTCAAGTCTCCTTTGTCACTTTAAAGTAACTTATTTCAAAGTAATTTATTGGCCTTGGACATTAAACTCTCATCTTAATAGTTAACATTGGTTTACTAAAGGAAAAGAAAAGACAGCTGCAATTTACGGTCTTAAGAAACAACAGATGAAAAGTGTCAACTACCACAAGTTGTTGCTGCTTATTACAAATTCTTCCCTACATTTCAAAGAGTGATTTTAATGACCCTAGTAAGGGTGGCAACACTCACCAGTATGAATCTTCTCATGTCTCTGTAGCAGGTACTTCTGTATGAAACGCATGTCACATTGACTACATTGAAATGGTTTTTCGCCTTAAAATAATTTCACATCCATAAATTAGTTACTGGATAAAACAACAGTCTTTAGTTACTATTTCTGAGCCCAAATTTTGAAAAATTCCAAAATATCCATACAAGTTTTTGATACTGTTCATTAACAGAATTTTACTTCTTCTCAAAATTTTCCCCGGGATCAAAAAAATCACATTCTCACAATCATATAAAAATGAGAATAGATGTGTGATCTATATCCTTCGCAGAAAGGAAATAAATCATCTAAAATAGTATATAAAAATCACAAGAAAGGACTCTATTATTACCTTCTCTTGAATGTTACCTTCTTCCATCTTGTTTGAAGGAAGATGGACCCATTCTGTTCTCTGGGGCTAGACACCCCTTTATGCCCTTTGACCTATTTTCTTCAGAACATTCAGAATTTTCTAAACATCCCTTCTTTTAAAAATCTTGTCTCTTTAGACTCACTCTCTCTGCTAAAGCCTTTCGAAACTGTGTCTGAATCCCGAAACACTCATAGCTCTTACTGCTTTACTCCCTCTAGTCACACCTTATGAGTAGTCTACCCAAGAAAGTCTCAAATTCTTCACTCTCACTTAGAGTTTAATGTTAATACTGTGTTTGCTGAAGAGTTACTGTGATCTTGTTTATTCTAAACATTGTCTTAATTCCCTAAGTCTCTGTATCTTCTTCATGGGCTGTGACACTGTTGATCACGCTCACCTTGGAAATCACTTCTTTTGACTTCTAGGATGCTGTATTTTCCTAGTTCATAAACTACCTTTATTACTCTCTCTCTACCTCAACCCTGATTCATCTTAATATGTCTGATTTGTTTCTCCAAGGGTCTCTAATCAGTCTTTAGTCGTGTTCTCTACAATTTCATGATCTTAGCTATCATTTTTTTCAATTTGACTTCCAATCTGTATTTCAAACTCTGCCTTGGTATCTTCTACAGAAAAGTGCAGGTTTACAGGCTTCTTAACAAAACATTCTTTAATCATTAGCAAAATAAGTGTCTAAGTAGACTACTTAATTACTTTTACATATCCATGGTCATTGTTTTCTAATATAGTTTTTCCTGTTTCCTTGTCACCTTCTAGCCAATGAAATTTCTGATCTAGAATGCCATATTAGCTAAGGTGTTAGAACAAATGACATTTACACAAAGATAAAAATAACAGACATAATTTTAATGGCCATAAGCCCATATTAATTCAAGAAATACCTGTATGAATGAAGACATGTCTCTGTAAGTGATAGTTCGTTCTAAAGGCAGCATTGCAGTGCTCACAAACGTGAGATTTAGGGGTTTTCAAACCAAGTGATCCATCCTCATTTATTGTAAGGATCTAGTTTTTTTAAAAAAAGGCAAAAACAAAAGAAAGAAGTTTTTAAAACGTAATACTATTTAAAAAAAAAAGAATGCAAACAATTGTCATCAGAGATTATGAAATACTTCTTCTTAAATAATTTTAGAAAGACTATTAGAATAATGTTATAATTCATTGCTGGAAGTACAACATGACTAAGGATGGGTAAAAATTACTTAAAACCTTGGAAGCTGCTTAAGGGAAATCTCACCACTAAGCCCACCTGCCTATATGTTGACACCAATGGAGTTCCTCAGTATTCTTTGCTACAGTAAACATAGCTCTATTTTCAATGTCCAGTTTTCAGCTATACAAGAAAAAGGTCTTCTGTGCTTTAGACATGGGCTAAATATCACTCAGTATGGGACTGGTTATGTAAATCACAGAAAAAATAATAATATTACGTGGTTGTAAAATACAATGAAAAGGCTAGTATGAAAAGTGCAATTTAAAGAGGAAGATTTAGGGGCCAGCAGTTGGCATGGTGGTTAAGGCGCTGAACTCCCACATGGTCAACCACTGTTCAAGTCCTCGACCTGGAGGCTTGCTTTCTCTCACTCTCTGGTCAAATTAAATAATAATAATAATAATAGATAAAATCATTCTTTAAGAAAAGAGAGGAAAGCTTAGAACCTAGTGCATAATTTTGCTAATTTGAGTACATAAAGGAATATATATTTGTTTGTATATGTACAAAACTACTTGAGAGGGTTATAAATAAAATGTACATAGCCTTAGTTGTGATAGCTATGGAACTGGCAGGTAAGATAAGGGAGACTTGAGACCAGAAGTTAGTGTAATGGCTATGTTGCTGAACGCCCATGTAGTCGACTGCGGTTCACGTCCCGGATCCGGGGGGTTAAACTCATGCCGGGCACGTGTGCGTGCGTGCCTAAGATCCCAAGAGGAGAATGGAAGAAAAAGGATTGCCGCATGGCCATCCCCCCCAGGGGTGATTTCTCACTTTCTATCTCTCTGTCTCTCTCTGTCTTCCTGGTGGGTGCACATGCCCTACAGCAAAAACCTCTCCAAAAAAAAGAAAAAAAAGATATAAGGGAGACTTGATACATTGTGCACTTAAAACATTTTTCTAAGCCGTTAAGTGCTTATCTATTTTTTTTAAGAAGAGATTTTTTTCTAAGCCATTAAGTGCTTACCTATTTTTTTTTTTAAGAGAAAGAAAATCTCATTTTGTTCAAGTCATCCTAGAGTGTAACCTGCAGTCTGTTTCAGTTCAGAATCCCACAGGCTATGCTAGTACTACTAACCTATTGTTAAATATATTCCCAAAAATATCTGCAGATAAATCAATTAGAGATGAGTATGGGGAAGAAGACAGGAAACAAATCAACCTTATCTTCCTAGCTTCTTGAGACAAAGAACTTTGTTATGTCTGATGTGTACAGTAGTACGAGGGAGTTCACCTTAGGCCTGCATGTTCCAATTTATCAACAACTTGTTTAACATGCAACATTCAACTGCCTCTCAACCAGACATGTGGTAGAGTGAAAGAAAGAGTGAAGAACCTTTTCTCTACACATTGAAGAGGGAAAAAAAGCAGAATACTATGTGAAGAAGCAAAGAAAATCAGGAGATAAGATCAGGAGGACAAGGGCCAGAGAGAGGGAAACATAGTTGGAGGCAGGAACATATGGAACAGAAGTTAAGAAACTGTCTTACAGAGGGTTGAGAAATCTGGGAAGCATCTTTAGAAATACAGAGGATTGCGGAAACTGATTAGGGCCTACACAAAGTTATGATCTCTTCTCAGACCAAGAAAAGGGAAGTAGGTAAAAATAAACAAATAACTAACAACAACAAAGAAAAAACAGCTTTAATCTTCTAAACTTTTTTTTTTTTTAACTTTATATTCAGGAAGACAGTTCAGCCTATACTATATGCAAATCGATGGTAATTATTATGCAAATTACACAGGGCACTGGGTTCTGGGCAAACTGCCAGTTCGGTCAACAATGCTTCAAAGACTATGCACCAAAGTCATGGAAGAGAAACAGTTGGCAGGAGAATGGAAGTGGGTGTCACAGCTTCCTGAACAGAGTCAGTGAGAATGGAAAGTTTCATCTCTGGCCAGTTAGTTTAGTTTTTTTCAATCCCTCCAAGTCAAATAATAATATTCAAGTTAATGCTGTGTAAAAAGAAAAAACAAAATCTTCTAAAATATAATTTGAAATGTTTCTACCATAAAAACAACAAAATGATGTTTAATATCTTATGTAAAACAAAACTAAAAACAAGATAATACCAGGTATTTTCTTCACATATGTTCATAACAAGTTAAGATCCAAGTGCCAAAAAACATGGCAGTTCAATAGCTTTCTGTGGCATAGCAACTGCAAGGAAAGGCTTTGTAAGGAACAGATCTGGTCCAGGCTGCTTAATGTGAAACGGATGCAATCCTCCACTGTACAAAGCCCTTTTATCTAGACTTAAGGAGTTCTAGGTCATTGTTTTCTGGCACTGGAGGTAATGCTGCCTTTCACTGTGGATTCAAGTCTTAATTCAAGGTGGATTTTATGGATGAAACAGCTACCACTGCCTTGTGGACTAATGAAAAATGTAGTATATTTAGAGGTTCAAAGATACAATACCAAAAGTTTTTGAACATTTTATCTTTCATTTTCTTTTCTTTAGGCCAGCATAACAAGCATTTTTGCTTAAAAAGACAGAGTAAAATTCCTCTTGCCTCAGATGAGCACCAACTATCCTTTCAACTTGTAATCTGTTTTGTACATCTCCACCTGGTTTTGTCTGCTTTATTCATCACTGGAACCCCAGAGCCCAAAATGGTGTCCAGAGCACAGTGGAGACTTCTGCGAGTCTGCCTACATGGCTGCCTGCTATTCATAACAAACATCCCTCACAGCTTACCACTTTATTCTTCTTAAAATTTTTTGCCAAAGTAGTATTTTTCCATTTCTCAGTTTTCAGATTACTGAGGCGTACCATACAGAGGTGAGAATGCAAAAAACAAAGTCCTTTAGTGCAATAAAAGTGGCACATTGTTGCAGGCAAAATTGACTTCCTTGGTATACATGTGGCAGCTTCTCCTGTTCACACTCTCTCAAGATTTTTTAGCAGAACATGATCTATCAGTTGAATGTCAGCAGTCTTGCCTGCTATTGATACCATAAAATAATTTTTCTTTTCTTTTTCTTCAACATATAAATACCATTACAACGGAAGAATGTGAAGTTTCGAAACTTAGATTCTTAAATGCCTGCCACAGCATCTTTAGATGTTAAATCTTATCTCCTGTCACTGTCTAAACAATACTCAATGCATCTGGGTTTTTTTTTTTTAATCTGTTTAATAAACTTTTTTTTTTTGGAGAGGTTTTTCGCTATAGGGCGCATGCGTTTGCCAGACAGACAGAGAGACAGAGAGACAGAAAGCGAGAAATCATCCCCCAGGAGAGATGGCCATGCCACAATCCCTTCTCCTCCATTCTCCTCTCGGGATCTTGGGCACGCATGCACATGCGCCCAGTGTGAGTTTTAAGCCACCAGGTCCAGGGCGTGAACTGCGATCGACTACGTGGGAGTTCAGTGACATAGCCATTACGCTAACTGCTGGTCCCTGTTTAATAAACTTAAAATAGGATTTTACAGAAAAAAAATTGTTCAATACCAAATGAGATTAATCTGCTTTCTTAAGCTCCTGGTCCACTGTAGGTATTTTTTGTTTTCAAACAAATTTGTTCTTAGATATGTGTAAAAAGAAAAAACAAAATCTTCTAAAATATAATTTGAAATGTTTCTACCATAAAAACAACAAAATGATGTTTAATATCTTATGTAAAACAAAACTAAAAACAAGATAATACCAGGTATTTTCTTCACATATGTTCATAACAAGTTAAGATCCAAGTGCCAAAAAACATGGCAGTTCAATAGCTTTCTGTGGCATAGCAACTGCAAGGAAAGGCTTTGTAAGGAACAGATCTGGTCCAGGCTGCTTAATGTGAAACGGATGCAATCCTCCACTGTACAAAGCCCTTTTATCTAGACTTAAGGAGTTCTAGGTCATTGTTTTCTGGCACTGGAGGTAATGCTGCCTTTCACTGTGGATTCAAGTCTTAATTCAAGGTGGATTTTATGGATGAAACAGCTACCACTGCCTTGTGGACTAATGAAAAATGTAGTATATTTAGAGGTTCAAAGATACAATACCAAAAGTTTTTGAACATTTTATCTTTCATTTTCTTTTCTTTAGGCCAGCATAACAAGCATTTTTGCTTAAAAAGACAGAGTAAAATTCCTCTTGCCTCAGATGAGCACCAACTATCCTTTCAACTTGTAATCTGTTTTGTACATCTCCACCTGGTTTTGTCTGCTTTATTCATCACTGGAACCCCAGAGCCCAAAATGGTGTCCAGAGCACAGTGGAGACTTCTGCGAGTCTGCCTACATGGCTGCCTGCTATTCATAACAAACATCCCTCACAGCTTACCACTTTATTCTTCTTAAAATTTTTTGCCAAAGTAGTATTTTTCCATTTCTCAGTTTTCAGATTACTGAGGCGTACCATACAGAGGTGAGAATGCAAAAAACAAAGTCCTTTAGTGCAATAAAAGTGGCACATTGTTGCAGGCAAAATTGACTTCCTTGGTATACATGTGGCAGCTTCTCCTGTTCACACTCTCTCAAGATTTTTTAGCAGAACATGATCTATCAGTTGAATGTCAGCAGTCTTGCCTGCTATTGATACCATAAAATAATTTTTCTTTTCTTTTTCTTCAACATATAAATACCATTACAACGGAAGAATGTGAAGTTTCGAAACTTAGATTCTTAAATGCCTGCCACAGCATCTTTAGATGTTAAATCTTATCTCCTGTCACTGTCTAAACAATACTCAATGCATCTGGGTTTTTTTTTTTTAATCTGTTTAATAAACTTTTTTTTTTTGGAGAGGTTTTTCGCTATAGGGCGCATGCGTTTGCCAGACAGACAGAGAGA